GATGTGTCTCAAGATAGTATTCAAGGTTATATTACAATATGAAGATTGGTATATGTGTCATTTCACGTAGTTATTATTAACAAACTTCTCTGAATATATTGTGATTTTTTACATGTCCTTAGTCATAGAACATTATCATTATCAACAGACATTTAGATATACAAGCCAGCCTGTCCCTCCACCTGTTTGCTTCAGAATACTTGGCATTTATTTTGCAACATCACTGAAGTAGTTACAGCTTTGCAGTTGAAAACTATTACAGCAATATCAGTTTTTCATATTCAATTTAGCTTTAAACCCAGAAGTTTGCCTTTTATTTATAACTTCTAGGGCATTACTTTATCCTTATGCTTGGGTTGGGGGAGTTAAATGTGTGGAATACAGCTGTGTAGTATGCAAGGTTGCAAAATTCTGTCATTAGTAATGAAACTTTTTGCAGTAGTACATGAAAATAGAAACATCTAGAGCATTGTATTAAAAAAAAAAAAGGAGCAACAACCAACCACAAACAAACAAATATCCCCACCATAAAATGAGACAAATCAAAAACAAGCAAACAAAGCCCCAAAAGCAATACTGAATCCTTCAATTATAACCAGGAATTTGCCCCTGCTTTCTGAAATATTTTAAGGAGACATTTTTTGTTTCTACGGAAACATTTTGCAGCAAGAAGGTATTCATATTTGAAATGGTTAGCTGAGGCAGTGGGAAATTGGAGACTCTTATGCATCTTGTATACTTGCATCTTGATCATTTTATGCTGATGATCATGTTCAGCTAGCAATTTGCCTAATTGTTTGTTGGTGGTTGTAAGCTAAGTGCATATTAAATGACTGTGGCTATTTTGTAGAATTAGCCATACATTCAGAATGGCTATTTTTGATAGGATAGCATATTAATATTGACTGGGAACACAAAGGTTTTATCTTCATTTTCCTTTCATTTCTCCCTCCTCTTCCCTGCCCCCCTCCCACACCCCAAAGGAAATTTGGTTTTAGAGACTGATGAAGATGTTATGTTTTTAAAATGATACCAAACAGCAAGTGAGAAGATAGTTAAGGGGAGAAAAGAACCCTAATCAGTTAAACTTATTAGAATTTCACAGCTCTCAGGAGGCTGTAATTTGTAAATTGATACAGCCCTGGGGTGAGAGAAGAGATGGAATGAAATCAGATTTCATCTAGATATGTAAAGGCAAAATAGCACTAAAATTTAATGTTAATACTTAAAATACATTCACTAGTGATCCATGTGATGGCCAAATGTGTTAAACCACACATTTCAGAAAACTTATTACCATATTCCTTGCAATGGATTCAGAGTGATGTAAAGATTTGTCTTGGATGAGACCTGAAATTCACACAGACCTTTCCAGTAGTGAATGCAATGCTTTGTCGTGTTTTACAGAAGATGAACACATTGAACTGAACAGCAACTTTATTTAGCTGAAGATGTTGCACATACTCTTTAACTGTGCTCACTGAGCGTATCACTCCAGTGCAGTCCCTGCCACCGTTCACGGGTATTCTGTTTGACAAAAAACCTGTCTCCATGTTTTCAAAGCAGCCCAAAGAATGGACATTTGGTACTTTAGAGATTTCTTTGTCTTCATAAGAATAACAGCTTCAGCTGTGTTTCTCTGACACTATGAAGCTGTCATCCTCAAGGCTAAAACTCTTAAAAGTAGGAGCTAGGATTTACACTGCCACAGTGACAGAATTTGGGATGTAATTAGAAAAAACATTGGAGTTACAGAGTGTGACAATGGGAATGAATTCAGTTTAGTTTTCTGGTTACTCGATCTAGTTTTCTTCCACATGAAGATGATAACAGCAAAGAGAAAATGAGATGCCAGAAATGAGAGAAAGAGTAGTGTGAAGGTGAAGAATGGGAAGAAATTTATCAGGAAAAGGGAAAAGAGAATTATACACTTGATAAAAAGAAGAAAGAAGTTAGACATGGAGCAAATTGCTGTTTTCTTATTTATGTCTGGGAAACGCATACTAGGTCAGAGGCAACATCTGAAAACCTGTATGTGCAGATAAAAGAAGTCAGGTTAGGTGTATTTTTCATAAATAGGTTGAGACTCTGTCTGCACACAGTGACATTTAATTAAGTAAGTAAGCTGAAAGTGATTTTTTTTCTATCCTATGTTTTAGTTGCAGTTGAAATATTATTGGGGTTTGTAATTTTGTATACTTATCTGAGTAAGATTCCATCAAGTAAATTAGGAATTTGCCTGCTCTGGGGGCTTTAGCAATATTCTATCTATACAGTAATTTTTAAGACTATTTTACTGAGTAATTAAAGAACTGGATGGTAACCTAGTCCTGTGGCACATAGTTTTAATTACAGTTGTTTATGTTCACACAGAATAAAGCAAGTAATTGAATAATGGATATCTCAGCTGAAAATGGGGGGCTGTCACCCTGCTGAGACATAGCTTTTTCTTGTAAGGAGCTAGTTATGATGTTTTTATAGTCTGTATAGGAGTTCTGACTACATACCAATGATAATTTGTCACATTGCTTAAGGGATTCATGCTAATGAGAAATGTAATATTTTAAAAATAATATTTTTATTTGATGCCACACTTCTTCATGGGGTTTTTTTGTGACACTGCTGTCTGCTGAATTGACATAGTAGGTGTACCAAGTTTTTACACACAATTGTGTTTTAGCAGATGATTAAGTGCAGATAACCAACAGATTTTGTACAAGATTGTTATATCCTCTCTCCCATTGATACTTCCCTTTCCACCACAGGTTAGAAACATAGCCTGACATGGCATGCTTTCTTTTAGCTCTCCACAGACATTTGCCTGCCAGAATCCAAGATAGATTTTGTCTTAGTTATCAGACTACAATTATTAAATAATAATGGAAAAAGAGATTTCATCCTATTCATAAAACATAGTGGAGTTTTTTTAGTACAAAAAGAATCTAAATTTAAATGTCCACACTTTTTTTTGTTTGCATGCCCTATCTTTTAAATAACAGTAATTAATGTAGTTAGAGGAAAATATGACAGATAAGCTTTTCGATTTCTTTTTTGTGTGTGTGTGTGAGAGAGCGAGAGAAGTTGATTGTGTTTCCTGATCAAAAGTAGTAACAGAAGATGCCTGTCTTGAATGAAACAAAGAGCTCGGAGAAATATCTGGTGGTCAGAGGTCTTCCTCTGCCCCTCTCTGGAGGCATTGCTAAACTGTCGGATCAAAATCCAGCGGACTCTTCTGCCAGAAAGCATGCAAGAGATGACCCTATTAATTGTGACTGATAAGCTTTTAAGATATATGATATCTGCCTTTTGTTCTGAACGTCCTCTCTGCGGTTTTGCTTCCTTCCATTCAAGCACCAAACCCCTTCTAGAAAGGCAAATGCCAAACAAACATCCTGGCTGAAATGGTAGAGCCCTTTGCTATTAGTGTATCTTTCTTCTTTCCTCTACACCCTTTCTTTCCTGAAGAAACCCCTTGTTTGCTTTCTTTTTGTTTCTTAGCTGTTAGAAAGCCTTTAAAAATGCTTTTACTTCCCTGTCACGGCATTATGCTCTTTGGAGGAAGGACCAGCTGGAGTCATGGCAAAGAGAACTGCTGTCCTGGTAGTTTTATTTTGTATTCACCGTACGATTCACAGAATTGCATTGTTCCTTCCCAGAGGGAAAAGATTGGTCTCTCATGCAAATCACTGGTGCTTTTCTAGGCTTTTGTACCCTTCCCGAAATTGTTGGAAGGGATCCTTCTTTCTGCAGAGCAAGAAGGAGGAATTGCACCAGACAGGCTGGCCCCAGTCATTTTATCCCTTTCCTGTGTCTCTTACAGCTCCTTTTGAGGAGCAGACACCAGGCAGTACCTATACTGTGTTCCCAGGGCTTCTACGGGTCTTGTGCATTTGGTGCGCCAAATTCAGTGACATTGTTTGGCATAACTTGAGACTTGCATTGCTATGAGTACACAGAAACTGGCCTTGTCTGTATGTGAAAGTATCCTTGCTCATTTAAGCTGAATTGATAAACAAGCGTTTTTGCACTGACCTGAGTGGTATGTGAAGTTGGTACCAGTTAAACCAAAGTAGTGTATGTACATTATTTCAGCTGGCAATATTTTGTGAGTAGGGGTGTCCACAGATTGAGCTTTCACAGAGCCTTGTTAGCGTTCATGGAAGTGCAGCTCTTATGTTCAGGAATGCCTCCAAGCCTTGAAAAGTCTAGCAACAACAAAGAGAATGTGCAGAAATAGAAATTTACTTTTAAGGAAATAAAGTCACAAAGTGAAGTACAAGGAATAAAGCTAGAAACTGTCTGGATAGGTCTGCACTGTGATTGAAGGTAGCAGGCATTAAACTTCCTGTTACTGCCAGCAAGTTAAGCAGGACAGAAGTTATAATTTAACCTCCATCTCCACAGACATCAGCACATGCATGCAGAGGATTATTACCACCATCTGTTTTATCCACATATTCATCAGTTGTGTTATTTTGTGGGGTTTTTTAGTGTTTAAGCACTGCTTTGAAGCTGTTGTCTTAATTGTTAACTTGGGCTGAATCTGTGCAGAGATGCCTATAGCAGTGTCAGCATGCTCAGATGGGAACTGTTAGATTAATGAATAGAAGTAGCAGCTCTGTGCTGGTGCAGTACATTAATAGCTGTGCTAGTTCAATCAAATACACTACTAACTTTGTCACTGTGTAATGGTATTTACCAAGTCTTAGATCGACTACTAAGAAAGACAAATGTAATCTTTCATTTTTGTTTGACTTAAAAATAAGGTAACTAAATCCTTTTCATAGATTACTTTATTACTATTCTTCACAAGATGTAGCAGGAGACTTGGATTCTTCACTGAAATGGAATATACATGTATGAGGGACATCATATTGAATGGAAAGCTAACTGTTGCAAACATCATTCATGTAGCTTAATCTCATACTCTGACTTACTGGAATTAATGCAAAAAAGAAATGAAAAAATATGCTTATTCCTTCCTTCTTTTTTCGTTACAGAACCTGAAGAAAGTGTTTGTAGAATTTAGCCATCAGGAGCTGTTTGAGTTCTATAACAAGGTCTGTCGATTTTACAATTCTATAGTTTCTTTGTAAGCACCTTAGGCTGCTCAGCAGGAAGTGTTACCTGTATGAATTAAATCTAATAAAACTAGAAAAAATGGATCCAGCTTAAATTAAGGCTGTTGGATTTGTTTGATCACATAAAGCATTTTCAAAAAGAGCCTGCGCATTCAGATTTGGAATAGGCAGGGCTTGGGTCGTTGTAAGCATACCTTGCAGTTAGATCAGGAGGAGTAGCTGATGATTAACAATGGGGATCTCTCTGGAAACAGCATCTTTGTGTTACATCTTCAGTTGAGATGCCAGGCTCGTAATCCAGTCAAAATTAACTCTATTTTTTTTTACCTTGTTATTATGCATTGGAAATTCACAGCAAAACATCTGTGCATGTAAAAGAGGCAGTATTTAGACAACTGTTTCTTTTAAAATTTGAATATTTAAACTGCAGCAATGAATTGTAATAGCTTCATGTAAAAACAAATATTCACGAGTACAGAGTTTTTATATTGCTATGCAAATAGATTTGGTATGCATAGTTGAAGATACTGGAATGTGGTTTTATTTCTGTTTGCATGTTTCTAAACAACATTTTATGAGTCGAGTTTTTTTCCTCTCTTTTTGTTCCTTTAAATAGCTGGAAACTATACAAGCACAGCTGGATTCCCTTACGTGATGTTTTTGAAGACTTATTTCTCCATCACACTCCTGCCACCTCATTATTTTGAATTGAAGATAGATTGCCAAGCTGTGTTTGCTGAAGGATTCAGTGGGTTGCTTCTTGTAAAATTATATGGCTTATCTGCATTTTAGACCAGTACTGTTAGCCGAGAGTCTTTGTTAACAGTCTGAAGATTCTAATGGACTTTCTCTTGTTTGCTGAGCAATTGTGAAAAATGGCTTTACCTGCAGTGGAAAAAACAAAACAAAACAAAACAAAAACCAACAACCCCAAACTTAAACAGAATACTATGTGCTTCAGAAATTCAATTTTTTTTTTCATCCTTTTCTATGGGTTACTTGATTCTGGTAGAAATTTGCATACTAGTGAGGGACCAGGAGTAAAAATCTATTTTTTAGACATAAAAGAAATATAGAAGTCGTAAGAAAATACACCGCTAATAAAATATCTAAAATCTCTATTCTTTTTAAATGTTATTCACACAGTTGATAATGCTTGCTGCAGATTTGTCAAAATAAATTCAAAATGTAAAAATTAATTGGTTTATTTTAGGCTGTTGTAACTTCATTTCATTATTTTTGTTGTTTTTCAGTTTGATAGAGTTTTTTCCTTTGAAATAATCAGCAGTGTCTCTGATTTCAGGGTTTACTCTTGGCACTGAGAATAAATATGTCTTCTTAGAACTGCATGCACACCAAGGAATCTAAGTAGTGTGGTGTATAACTGAGGGGAGAAATCTCAGAGTAGATAACAACACTGAAATAGTCTGGCAGTCAGATTTCAGAAAGCTCTACATTGATCCTTCCTCATGCTGTTTTTACCTCTGTTTTTACATTGAACAGGAAAAAATGAAGTACAATGATTAAAGGCCATATTTTCTTCCATTATTTCAGGATGATTCATGAGCAGCATGAGAAAGGTAAAAGTTGTCTTAATTCTTGTTTGTTGCCATTTGTTGACAGGCAACTTCATTGCTGCACCTTGATAATGGGCACAGTATACAGCTCTGGGCTCTGGGCTAATAGAAGGTGAGAGGAAGTAAAAAACTTTGGCATTAGGCTTGTCTTTTTTTCCTTTAAGGGTTTCCCTGAACAAGACTTTTTTCTTTCTCATGCCTATAACAGTGATGGTTGATACTCACCCAGACAGTTTCCTTTTTAGGTTTGTTTGCTCATGACAGTAGCTGTAAGTATAACCAAAATGTATGTTTTGAATACCTGGTGTTTAGGTCCTCCTGTGCCAGATTTCTAGTTTTGTTGCTTTTGGAGGGTCGTTTTGTACCTTTTTGTTGCTTTGTTAGGGATTGTGCTGTCACCTCTAGAATACTGTGAGGTTAGCACACATTGTCTAAGCTGAGAGTTAATAGATTTAGAAGGTAAGGTCTTTAACAGCCTATGTGTGAGTAAAGGGCACTGAAGACAAAAAACATACTTATCATGGTTCTTAACTGAAATGCCAAATGATATTCTACCCCTCTGGTATGGTAACACTATTACCCTGATGGAAAGAACAAATGAGTCACTGTTGCACAGCAGAATATTACCTGCTAAAATCACATCTTGTCTTAAGCCACTGGCAAATGAGCTATGTCTTCTGGAGATACAATGCTCCCACCTACAGACATCACATCCTCAATCTACCTATTCAACAACAGCTTGCCAGCTCGTTCATCTCATGCTGCATAGACTGGTGTGGGTCTGCAGGTGAGCACATCCCCACCATTCCCTCTACCTGCAAACATTAACAGTGCTTTGTAGTTAGGAAAGTCCCTTTCTTCATGGCACAAAAGTTATGGCTTCTCTACTGGTCCTGTGGGACAGTATGGCTTGTGCTAGGACACTGCTCTAGAGCCTTTTCTCTGAGTTTCCAGAGCTTATGTTCTGGAAGTCAAGTCTGAAGTGAGTTGTAGACTTTCATTTGTGAATACAGGACATCCTAAGGTGTTATATGATGTGAGAGAGGGGTTTAAGTTACATTTGTGAGTATAGGCAGTGAGTGATGAATCCCAGAGCAGGAGCTGGACCATTTTGGAGTGCATGAGGCATTGGACAAATCAGCAGGCACATCTGAAGAAAAGAAGTCAAAGAAGAGTAGGAAGAAATCGGGTGCAGGAAAAAGGAAAGAGAGGACAGAGAAATGGATATTCCCAAGGATGGAATTTGGGAGTTGGAAAACTATGAGGAAGAAAGGAGGAACACTGGAAAAGATGACAAAAATATATATATAAGGAAAACATTAAGCAAAGTGAGAGAAAGATGTTAAAGACTGGAAGAGTGGGAGAAAAACAGGGGAAACAAAGTAAACCAGAGTTAACTATGGAAACTAGCCAGTTGTATAACTACATCTAGTATTTCAAACTAACCCATAAGTGTCAGCCTTGGTGCAAAGTTGGTCAAGATCAAAGCCAAATGTGGGATAACAAAAAAACCAGATTTTAAAGCTAGCTTTAGTATAAATATTTGAAAATGATAAAATAATGTTGAAAGGAAAAGCCTAAGATTGCAAGAATTCTGTAAAAATTATTTAGTGTTTATCCTTGTTTGCAGATGGCTGAAGAGATTTATGATTTCTTTAGCAGTGGTTGCCTTTTCTTTTTTTACTAGCTGTACTGAATTTGTATTGTCAAAAGCCTTATGATAAGAAGTACAGTTGTTATCTTGTCAAGAACCACTGAGAAATAAACATTTAGTTTAGAGAGACTTTTCTTTATGTAATGGGAAGCTTTGGGGTTGTACATTATTATGTAGCAAGGACATAACCTGTACCGTGTTAGAGAAGAGCATTGTCACTTATTTAAGTGGTTCTGAATAAGGAGAGAAAATTGACCAACTGTGAAAGATGGAAGTATTTAGGAGGTTTTTGTTAGTTCTTGCAAAAAAGAAGGTTTTTATTCTGGTTGCTGCTCTTTGGGCCTCAGTGGACCTGGAGAGGGGAAGTTTAGTCTTCCCCTGAGAGAAGCTGCCCCTGATTAGTTTGTATAAAGTCCTAGCGACCCAGAAGCATAAGGGAACAAGAGGAAAAACAAGGACTGCCACAGTCTGGATGATGCCTGGGGAAATAGGGATATCTGCCTGCATCATGGACTAGATCCAATGCTGTACCTTAGAGGTGGCAGAAAGAAAAACAGGCCCTGGGAGGAAGAAGGTGTGTAGCCTATACAGAACTGAATACACCAGGTTGGTGTGGGAGCCTAGACAGGTACATGCATGCTGAAGGTGTTCAAGCTTTGCTTATGTGTTCTGGTAAAACATAGTCTGAAAAGTGAGTCTTGTAGGTATTTTGGAGATTTTATTGCAGTAAAGGAAAGGAACACATCCCAGGCTCTTTTCAGCTGAGGGTCATAGCAAAGTATTGGTCTGTAATATCTCTTGGACATGATCCAGAATTGAAATTATCAAGGCTTCAGATAGTGTTGAAGGAAGATATTTGCAGAGATTTATTGAGCTCTAAAACTGGAAATTGAAATGAGTAAGAATTACTGAATCTTCTTTCAGATCTTTCAGTGCACTTTAAAAACATTTGATTCGTCTTTGTTCAGACATCGAAGACAGTATTTTCTGTGACTGTACTTCTCTCAAAGCTATAATGTCAAAATCTGCCTCAAATGGACTATTGGCAAAGGAAGGAAATCTTTTGGTTTGGGTATAACAAGCATCAGTATTGTTTTGACATGAAGACTTTGAGTTCTGGGGCTAAGTGTGAGAACTGCCTCTAAAATACCAAATTACTGATGAAGAGCAACCATTTGCACATCACTGAGCAAAACCAACGCTAATAGCACATTAATGCTGGTTGAGTACAAATGCATTACATTATCTTTCTCAGTTCAGATTTAGACATGTAATTCCTGTTTCTCAACCAAGTATGAAATGTCTGTAAGCTTTTGCATTCCATTTTTGTTGAAATAAAACATATAGTTAGATAGACAAATATAACTTTGCTGTCTCAAATTTTGACTAACTTCTAAACCTGTTTTGGGTCTCCAGAGGAGGCTTTCAAATTCTCCTTTAATTCCTGGATTTACTGACACATCAGTTTTGAGTAAAGACCTCCAGCTTACTTTCCTACAGTCTGATTTTAAGGACTCTGAAATCTTATTCTTTCTAAGTATAAAGAATTTACTGACATGTTAATTCTTACGTTGGTCAAAGGAAGAAAAGTGGTTATTGTTATAAAATGCTATAACCTCCCTTTTACACTTGTTCATCTCATTTTACTTGTTCATCTCATTCTCTGATTTACAACAGCATCAGTAACATTTCATTTTTTGCCTGTATTGGCATATCATATCTTCAAAGATTAGGAATTCACTCACATTATGATAAAATAATGGCAGAGCTTAATAATGCCTGCTGACCAGTGAATAAGTATCATACCATTTTGTGACCGTTTTATAGCTTATTCGACTGATGAAAATGAACTGTGTTTTGAGCCACTGTGTAAGTTCCTTTTCTTTGGAGCAGATAAACTGGCCATCTGAGTAACAGTGATTTTGTGTAGGTGGATGAACCACAGTGCTGCTGTCTGATGTGCTGTTGATGGTGTCTCAGTAAGATAAACTAATAAGATGCTTTTATCTGCAACGCTTACATAAATTGATTTCTAATTTTCATAGTAATTAATCAGTTTTGTTGGACCTTCCCTTGCCCTTCATAATTGTGTTGATCAGACCAAATTATATGCTGCGATTTTAACTAAAATGAAGTGTTTCCTTCATTATTTTGTTTCTCAAGAGATAAAAAGAGTTAAAAAGATATTGGTCTCTTACAAATCAGATGCTGTTCAGCTGTGTTCAGCTATGTATCAGGAATGACTTGTCCCTCTCACTGACAAGATTAGTTCCTTCTCTGTTGAGGTCAAAATATCTTTCATGGTTATCCAAGGTTTTCTCTAATTATTGAAATCATAGGAAGGCAGTTCTTCCTACACATCTTGGAATCGTAACTGTCTTGACCAGCTGTTCTGATAAGATGATCACCTTTTTAGGGCACTTTTAACTTTTTGTCTTGACTGTCAAACGTTAATTGTCCCTCTATGGTAATGTAAAGCATACATTCAATAAAATATGGATGAATGTAGTATCTGTCTCTGAGATCGCTGTGCAGATCCAGAGTCCAGCTGGCCTCTTCTGTAGTGTTAAAAACTAGTTAGGGGATTGTACACACTGGAGCAGCAGATTTTTTGGGAATAAACCCTCTGTCCCTCAGGACAAATGAAGGGAGGAAGAAGCAGCACTCCCTGGTCAGTGCTAACAAGATTCCTCACATCTGCACTGTGTTGGAAGGTTCATACTGTGAGGGTTAATGTGAAGAGCTCTGCCTACAGGTGATCTGACTTCGTTTCTTTCTGTTCCCCTTCATAGTTTCAACAGTAGGGCAGCTTTACTAAATTGCATTTCATGGGCAGCATGAGAATGCTGCACTTTTTCCATCACATATTTGTTTGTTTTTCTGCTTCCAGAATGTTAAGATATGCTGCTTTGTGTATCTCCTGTTCCATGCACTCCTCCGGTTGAGCACTGGGTAGGGTATGAGACAATTTGAACCTCAGACTGCCAGTTAGCTGAGCTCTGCCTCCTTCCTGAACAACAGTGCTTCAGGAAAAGGTCAGAAACGCTGACTGCATTGAAAAAATGTAGCCCAGACTAAGTGTTTTTAGTTTAGCTCTTCACTCTGGAAGGAGTGAGAATATTCATGACAAGCAGCACTTCTGCTCAGATCTCCTTCATGTAAGGAATGAGGTCCTGCCACTTCCAGCTCATTCACAGCCCAGAGAGAGGCATCACAGACCTCAAGAACAAAAAGGGACCTTTCTCCTCTCCTGCTTCATCTCTGCTCCCAAGAGGACCCCTTCTCCTCTCTTAGGCCAGCGGTCGGTACAGTTCTAGGTAGGGTAAAGCTTTTGTTGAGGTTTTCCTGTCACCCCAGGTTTGAAACTCACTTTGAGAAAGGGCCAGAAGAGATCTATATGAGAAGAGAGGTAGTACAAGACCAGCCTTTCAGGACATTCCCTTTCACAGGAATTATTAACTGTTTGGCCATTTCTGTAGCAAACTCTGAATTCAACCTATGAATGATACAGTATCTTCTTCACAGCCAAACTGCCTACATGAATAAAATTATCACTGGTTCTCCACATCGTTCTTATGGATTGCAGCAAGCTAAAATATCCTCAGAATGTGATTTAGGGCAACAGAAGTGAAGTACATCAGATAAATGTAGAAAAAAACAAACCTATAAGTGTGAGCCGATACCTTTGGAGCCGTGCTCACTCACTGTCTCTGACAGGATGAATGGCAGTGGTCCCAGTTTCTCTGATAATCTGATACTAAAATATAATGTTAAAAAAAAACTAATCAAAAAAGTTATAAACAGTCAAAAAAGAAGCAAATAAGCAGAGTCTCCTTTAAACAAGAGAGCATGGCATGTCACTGAGGTTGCTTCCAGTGAGAGGGAGTTTTCTCAGTTCTTACTTGGGCAGCACAGACTGTATGCGGTCATTGTTGCAACACCCTGTAAGTGACTTGGAGTCCTTTTAATGTCCTTCTGCAACTGAACTGCATCTCCCCATACTCGTAGGTGTCACTCCTGCACCTACCCATCTAAAATCGGTTTGGTAGCCTACTGATTGATACTTTTGTGTCTGTAGTCAGAAGAAGGAGTGCCTTGAAGGCCTTCTGTATGTCAGGACAGAGGATACAAGGTCCTGAATGACCTCAAGCACTGCTGCGCAGTGCTGCTCTTACCTGCCACAGCAAACAGCACCCAATTGGGAAGACAAAGCACCTCAGGTAATTTAAGTGTCTTTCTGGCTGAACGGGGTGTATTTGTTAGGGTTGACAGACCAGGTTTTGCATTGGTGAGTGTCTCTTTCTCAGCAGTAAAGTTGGTAAGTTTGGAGATCCATCTTCTGTCTGAGAACAGAGAAGTTTTAAATTAATATTTAGTTAAAATACTCAGTGTGAAAGAGAAGCCAAAGGTGGAGCTTACTCTGGTGCCTGGAGCAAAGTTCATGATTTAACTACTATGTTAGATGAATAAAATCTACCCCTGAGTTCCTTCCAGGCGGGCCTGGATATGAATGTGTAAAAGTATCTGAGCAAGAGGTCATATCCCTGTGGTATAATGATTTCAGCATGTTGGAAGAAAGGAAATCTCCTATTAATCAACCTTATTCCAGCATACAGGGTCACAAAGCATGAACTTGGAACCTCATTCTGCATTTCATAGCCTTACCTAAATCAAACCCAGGCTGCAGACATGACTGCACGTTTTGTTTGCCAGAGTAGCTCCTTTGTCATAACTATCGTCAGTCAAGTGACTTCAGTGATTTCAAATCAGATAGTGCCTTTAATTGCCATGTTAGCCCACTTCTGCATCCAAAGAATTAGTTCTTCCCTTGAAAATCCAGCCTTTGAGAGCTCTGTCAGCCTCCATATAAAGCAGCCATATCTCATGTATTAAGAGATAGAAGGGATCTTCATATCACTTGTATGAAAATCTGCTCTACCTCTTGACTGTCAATTCAACGAGCACTTTATACTGGCTGTGGTTAAAAGCATTCTTTGGTTTGACAGAATCTTTCTGATGACTTGGTGACCAGTTGAAGATGCTACAGATTTCTTTGCATAATCTTTTCTCTTTGTTTCTTCCTTTCTCCTTGTATTTTTCTGACATTTGAAAACTGATTCTTTGCCCAGTCTGGGAACACAGTGCTGCAGTAATCCTCTGGTATGGACATGACAATGAGGAAGAATAGGAAAACACAACCGCTCCATCCTGTAACAAAACTTCGTCTTCAAGGAAGAGTCTACTTGGAGAAAAAAATAATTAGAATTTGATTTCCAAAGATTTAGATGAGCTGATTAGAAGTGGAATGGCTATCCTTGCCACTACCTAGGTACAGGTTGACTGAAATCCTGTGGTTGTGGATCATACTAACAGCACATCATGTGAAAAATGCAGATATCTATCTTTAGTCTCTAATCTTTAATCCATCAGATTTTATGAACATGATCTCTGAGGATAGTTATAAGCCCCAGTAATAAAAATGATGCATCCCTCTAAATCCTGAATGGTGTTCTAGTTCTCCCTTGGATTTTGTGAAAGCCTTCCTCCAAACTCGCTAATTTCTTCTTTTACCTCATTGCTGACAGGTTCTGTCTTTTACTGTTTTTGCCTTAGCTCACTGTGCATCCTGAACTAATTGTTTTGCTCACAATTTTCCCTACACTCTTTAAGCTGGAGTGAATGTTTTGCTGTGTTTTTTCCTTATTTGCAATATATGCACTCTGTCCACTTTTCAAAAGAAGGAGTTGCCATTTTTCTGTCAAGAGTCCTCTGTTACTGTGCACTTTTGAAGGACTCAGTACAAACCTTAAAGTCAGTAAAAAACCATTTACCAATGGATTATACTGTGTAAAATTTCACTATTCATCATGATGACATCCAAGGTCAGTGCTGATGGTATGGGAAAGTGGCTAAATAAACCAGTGAAACAACAGAGAACAGTAAGAGACAGAAAAGAGAGAAGAAGGGGAAGGGAGAGGAGGGGAGGGGAGGGGAGAGGAGGTGAGAGGAGGGGAGGAAAACATCTGTGGATCTCTGTGCATATGAAGTACTTTTCTAACCCACCTTTATTAGATGATCAGTCTTGCTATGAAACAAATGTTTCCCTTGCTGGTTTAAGAGATCACGTAGACTTTTTTTCTATAGATGTTTTGCTGCATTAGCAAGAAGATCTCTCTGTTATCTGTAAATACAGTCTGTTTATTTGAGTGTTAGTACACAGTGGTTTTCAGTCACTTAAGCAAATGGGTCTGGGAATATCCTAGGCAGTATGGAATAGCCTTATAGATTGATTTTACTAACCATAAGGAATGACACAGGAGCATCATGTACAAAAGAACATAAGGTTGAAAACATTGATGCTTCAGAAGCACCTATATTAGAAAAATCAGAAGAAAAAGGCTAGCGTGAAACACAGCATGGCAAAACCCACTCCAAGTCTTGTCTGCAAGTGTGATGAGATTTATGATCCATGGTCCTGGCCCAGGCATTTTTGCAATGCTGAAAAAGCAAACACAAGGTAATGGAAAACAATTATGAGTCATTCCTTTACTTCAGAGGTGATTAATGTGACACGGTCAAGTTAAATCCTCCAAAGAGACATCAGCAACATTTTTCACTGATGGGTTTTGTAAGCATGGGTTTGATACTCTTCCACAAGGGATTTTAATTTCCTGCTAAAAGATATGGTTTATGATCAAAACCAATGTATACATAAATACTAGCTGCTGAGCGTATAAGACTGATGCTTTTCTTATCAGCAAATGATAAGAACATAGAACATCTTTAGTTTTATGATACAAATAACTCTGAGTTACTAAAACCATGCAGAACTGAATTGAAATATTCTCATGAACTATGCTGCAAAGGATCTAATAGCATCACTTCAGATTACCATATTCCAGAAGGTCTGTGTGTACTCTCAATTTAAAAACTGAAAATATTTGCTGCTTTAAATGAAAGAAAGAGTGGGACTCAGAAACACCGGCTACAAAAAAGGGAGCTCAAAAATACAGAGATTCTTGGAAATACTGCTAAATAAAACTGTCCAAAGCCCAAATCTGTGCACCTGGATTGCCACTTTGTCACCATGCTGGCATTACTGAACCCTCATCTGGCTCCATGCTTATTTACCTACCTACTAGTGTGGCTCCAGAGGGACAAAGTTACATTTAGTCCCTCACTAGTTTCTCTTGATGCATGTCACTTAAGGTGCTAATCCAAGAGCTCAAGATTGTCTTTCATCCAGTTAATCTATAATTTCTAGTGGGAAGCATGTCCTAGTTTCTGCAAAGGGGTACTTTGCCGTCACTTCGGTCCTAAAACTCCTCCATCCAGATCTTTGATTCCAGTTTTGTGTGTGCTAAGTTAGTCCAGCTCTTTTATTACCTTTCACATTTTAAGCAAGTAATTGGTTGGAGTGGCCTCTCCTTAGGATGGGAGCTGAGCCCAGAGGTTCCCTCCAGTGTTCCTAAGCCTAGTTTTATGGGTATGGTGGAGGGAAATGTTAT